CTCACGTCCCTGGTCTGGGGGAGGAGACGGGGTTCTCACAGCCCTGGGCCCTGCTGCTAGGTCACCCTAGTCATGACCCCTCGGTGACCCCCCCCAGCCAGGTACCCCAACCCTCTGCAGTGCGTGAACATCAACATCTCCTCGGACCAGCAGTGTCAGAGGGCTTACCCCGGAGCCATCACCCCGGGCATGGTCTGCGCAGGGGTCTCCCAAGGCGGGAGGGACTCTTGTCAGGTGAGACCCGGGGGGAGAGCTGGAGGAGGGGGTCGTTCGGGGCTGGGACTTGGGTACCAAAGAGTTCTCAGGAGCACAAAGCAGCCGGGGCTCCCCGGAGACCAGGCTGCCTCGCAGCCGTGCGCCCTCGGAGAGGACCCGACCCCTCCCGGCCTCAGTTTCCTCATCCGCTTGGCGCCGCGGGCGGAATTCAGGGACAGAGCTCGGAGCAGCGTCCGCACAGCGCTCTGACCGCTGCTGTCATTGTCGTCGCTGTGTGTAGACGCCTGGAGACCTGGCTCTGTCCCCCGGAGATGGAGACTGGGGGGAAAGAGGGGCTCGGTGAGACCCAGCAGGAGCCAATGACGAGGGGAGGAAGTGACCCCCCACCCCGGGGCCGATGTCCGCAGAGCCCCCGCTGGGGTCCGAGCCCTCGTTCCTCCGCGTCTCCGCCCCATGGTCCCGGCCATCTGTCCACAGCTGTCTCTGTCTCTCCAACAGGGAGACTCCGGGGGACCCCTAGTGTGCGGAGGACAGCTCCAGGGCCTCGTGTCCTGGGGCATGGAGCGTTGTGCCCAGCCCGGCTACCCTGGAGTCTACACCAACCTGTGCAAGTACCACACCTGGATCCAGCAAACCATGCAGAGCAAATGATCGCCATTGCGGTGAAGCGTCGCTGCCCACGTGCCGCCCCAGACCTGCTCCCTCCACGCGAGACCCGGGCGTCCGGCCCCCTCACCCTCACCCCTCCGCCCCCAGATCCTGGAGGGCCCCCAGCATCCTGACCCTGACCCCTGGCTCGGTCCCCCCTCTCCCAGAGCAGCTCCCTCGGGCGCTCCCTTCCGCCCGCCCCTACCTACAGCAGCGCCACCACGTCACGACCCCTTAGGCACAGAGGCTCGACGTCACCGGACTGGCACCGCGTCCCGAAGAAGACAGTTTTCAAAACCCTTGGTGTCTCTAAAAAACAGATGAATAATAATAAAAATTGAATAATCCTAAATTCCATTCCTCCGTTCATTTCCTTCACCCAATGGACACGCACACGGGGCTCTGTCGTGCCCAGCGGGGAGCCACACTGGCCGATGGCAGAGGGGAGGGCTTGTTGTTCCCCGGGGGGGTCTCCCTCCCCATCACTGCATCTGATGTACAGGAGACCCCCGCCTCCCACGGGTTTACAGTGTCACCCTGAGCAGGACCGCCCCTCCCCAAGCCTCCTGGTGAGCAGGGACTGCTGAGGTCCGGGCAGGGAGAGCAAAGATGTCCATTTCCTGGAAAATCCTATGCGCACGGGAAGCCTTCTTTCCCCTCGTCAGATCTCCGGCGAGGACAGTTGAGTTAAACACACTCTGGGGTTCAGGTCCTGGCAGAGCCCGGCTCTCATCGGGTTGATTTATGTCCACCTGTCATTCCCAGCCCTGGTTTCCTCCCTCCCCACAGACGCTAACCCAAATGGCCCCAAACGCCACGCACCCTCAGAAAATGTGTTGTCACACTGCATTGCTTCCGATTTATCTTAAACCATCATTTTACGGATCACAGCCTCCTCATTTCCATACGCCAATGCCTCCTTTACCGGGCACCTACTATGCGCCAGGCACTGGTCTATCTAGCGGGCACCTACTGTGGGCCAAGCATTGTTCCAGGTGCTGGACATGGAGCTGTTAACAAGCCAGACGAAACTAAATGCTTTCCCACGACAGAGCTGACATTCTAGCAGGAGGTGACGGATAAGAGACGATAAACGATTTAAAAGTAGAGAGTCCCCATGAGTGACCAGGTCAGTAGACCAGGGCTGGGTGGCAGGCCCACGTGTGCCAGAGCCAGCTCACACCAGCCAGGAGTGCTGACTGGCAAATTCTCATGAATTTCGAGAGTGGGTTACTAAACACGGTCATTATTAAAAAACCAAATCACGTCCACGCACAATGAAACAAGGTGTATGAAACACAAAGTCAGTCAGTACTCAAAACTCATCAATTCCTGGGTTTTTTTTTTAAAGAATATTTTTAAAAATGTATTTATTTATTTTTTTAATGGTAAGTTTCAGCTGTACGTTTTAACAGTAAGGCGCATATATATTTACACCGCGTGTTCAATTCCCTAATTATTTTTACGACCACCTATGTTTCGACGTTATTTATGTCTATCGCCTCCCACCTGTCACACGCCATCTCTCCTTCCGGCTCCGTGCTCAGTGGTGTCACACCGGTCGGTGGCTATCAGCCCAAGGCGGAGTATGCACCACAGAAAGTGACAAATGCTGCAGATCATGGGCTTTCTGTTTGTTTGTTTCTCTCGTCACCCAGACAGCTGTTAAACCTTCACGAGGTCACGGCCGGACAGCTCTGCCCGGGGACAAGCTGGCGGTCTTGGCGTCTGTCTTCTCCGAGGTCCGTGTGGGAGCTGCAGAGTTCAGTGTCCATTTGCTGTGTGCTCTGGGGGACAGCACAGGACCAGAGCCCCCGGACGTGGCAGCCCTGGGGCCTTTCTGGGAAATGGACGTGGCAGGCCTGGGGCCTTTCTGGGAAACAGAAGCTGTGCCTTCTTCAGGGCGACGCAGACATGCTGTGTAGCTTCAGACTTCAGGCGCCCTGTGCGTTGGGGGACACAGCCCACGCCGTCATTCCTGGCCTGCGTTCCTTCCGTCAAGTGGAGAGGAAAAAATGAAGGTTGCTTTTGTCCGGTTTCCAACCCACGCTCCCGGCTGTGGTGGTTGCATCCCGTGGTTCATTGCTTCTTGGATGCAGGCTCCTTTCACGTGGTTAGGGTTTCTGAAAGTGGAGGGCATCTTCCAACTAACCGATGGTGTCTTAGCCTCATATCGTAATTTAATCAACGGCTCCTTTTTCTTTCTTGCTGGTATACAAAATAATAGTGCAGACACAAGCCACCGCATTGCGGGTTGGGGGGTGGGATACGGGTTCTAGGGAAAGTAAGCTCATGGAGTGATCTGACCATATATCCCGACTTGGGCAGGCGTGATGGGTAGTCACGCCCCGGGGCAGACATCTTCACGAGCGAGAGGGTTTCCAGCCGGCCTCATCCATTGTTCTTGTATGTCTAAGGCGAATACACCTTTGAAACGCCAGAAGCAACACCCTCCAGAGAGCAGAGACCTCCTTAACCATCCTATAACCCCGGCCCCACCTTGTTCTCTCTCTCTCACCTTCCCGTGATCTTCCCCACAGTTCCCTCCTTCATTTCAAATGCGTGAGAGAAGCTGCAAAGCTAGTTAGGAGTTGGGCATCTGAGCTCCCGCTGCTGGACAGAGGCGGGCGAAGTGCTTTCGGGAGAGGAAAAAGAGGCTAAGAGGAGGGACAGTTACAACCAGGGAGGGTCCCTGGAAACATAGGGCGTGAGGGCGCCCCCTGTAGGCTCTCCCCGTTCTTGTCTAGGTTAAAGTCTCCGTCATACATTTTTTTTGACAGGCGGCATGCCCCTTCTGTACCTATAGATATCTCTGGAATATTAGCAGGTTTTTGTCCAGATAAGAAGGATTCCTCTCTCCCCACAGCCTCGACAATGCCCGTAATTCATTCATTCATTCGTTCGTTCATTCGTTCATTCGTTCAGCAAATACTTATTGAATCCTGTTGTGTGTGCCAGGTACTATTCCAGCAACACAACAGAGAAATGCCTCTGCCCGTGGGGAGCTCACGTCTGGAGGAGAGGCAGGCAAGAAACAGGTAGGTAAAACACGAAGCTTCGCACGTGGGGGTGCGTGCCAGGATTGCAGGGAAGGGGTGCGATTTTAAGTGGCTGGTTGTGCTCTGGAAGGCTAATTCAGCAGACCTGGGCTGTCCAAGCACTGCACGTTATTACGAAAACATAAATTTGGCCCTCGCCTTGCCTGGGTTCTGGGAGGTAGCCGCTAAACCCCTGGAATACCCTGTCTCTATTTATCTACTTATCTATTTATCAAATGCCTCAGGGCATTCGATCTCTGACGGGGCTGGAGATTAAAGTCAGTCATGAAGGCAGATGGCTGTGCCTACGTGACCAGCACCCAATAAGATGCCCAGACTCCAAAGCTCAGGTGGGCTCCCCTGGTGGGCAATGCTCTGTACGTGTCGGCCCTGCTGGGAGAATCGGTTCCCCGAATACACCGAGGAAGGACAGCAGGACGCTCACAGCTGGTCCCTCCCGGACCCCGCCTGCGTAGACCAAGAGAACAGGAGCTTTTCCGAGTTCCGTGGGTCCTTCCGCGGATCACCGAACCCGTCTTAGGGATGCCCGAGGAAGTCTTCCCGGAGAGGATGATGAGGACGGAAGACATCGCACGGACATCCGCTTTGGAAGAGGGTTCCTGCCGCTCCGTGAACCGCAGGTACGGAACGGGAGTTTCACGGGGGGTGGTAGATGACATCAGGGGGCGGTTGGGGCCAGGCGGTCTAGAGCCTCGTCGGCCACCACCACCAGCAGGAAACTCGACTTTCACTCCGAGACGGAAGGCACTGCAGGATCCGGAGGAGTGACCTGCCCTGACTTACTTTTCAAAAGGTCACTCTGGTTGCCGTGTCGCAAAGAGAGTGTAGGTGGACAAGGACAGGGACAGGGAGACCAGGTAGGACGCTTACAAGGAGACGAGGGTGGGTGGGAGGGGCCAGGGCGGCGAGGTCGGCAGGCATTGAGCAATGGTCCGATTCTGGACCTGTTTTGAAGATAGGGCTGACGGGGACGAGTAGCGAAACCCCCGCGTGGTCTGAGCGAAGGCATTCGAGAAATGCGAGGACGGAGCGACCTGTCCGCTGGGAAGACGGGGACGGCAGGAGGGGCTCGTCGGGGACGTGAGACGGGTGGAGGACAGGAATCCGCATGAGAACGCGCGGATGTTGAGTAGGCAGCCGGATGCTAAGTTGAGGGTTCTAGAGCCAGGTAGACTTGGGAGTTGTCAGCACGCGGCTGGTATTTAAAGCCATGCGGCCCGACGAGGTCGCTGAGGGAGTGAGTGTAAACAGAAGAGCGAAGAGGATCCGGTGCCAAGGCCTGAGATGCTCCACCACGTAGACTTCGGGGCCACGAGGAGCAAACAGCGCCAGACACGAGCGAGGAGCAGCCAGTGGATGATGAGGAAGACCAGGAAGGTGTAGCGTCCCAGCGGCCGAGGACAGAAACAGGAAGCGAAGGATCCACTTGGGAGACGCCGCCGACAACTCAAGTAAGACGAACCCGAAGGAGTTGGTTCCACAACGTGGAAGTTACTGGTGCCCCAGACGGGGTCATGGTGGGCGGAGCGGCGGGGGAGAAAGCCCGCCCGGAGTGGGCTTGAGAGAGAACGTTCCAGAGGGGTTGCAGACCGCGAGCAGAGCCAACTTTGTAGAGAAGAATTGCAGTCAAAGGGGAGCAAAGATCGGGCCAGGGGAGCATGCGGGTGGAGAGGAGGGTTGGTTTGCTTTATTCTCGTAATGGAACATGGTGGGCATCGTCGGGCGTCTGCGGGTTATTTAATGGGACTGCTCACAAGGTCTGCTGGCGGGAGCGGCGTCCTCAGGGAGACCACGGCAGGGGACGGGGACGCCGTCTGTCTTAGATGGAGGTGCGGGCTCTTGGTGGCGAGAAATCGGAAGGGGTGCAGAGGAGGTGGGCAGACGCAGGTGGGTGGCGGGACTGACCTTGCCAGTTCCTGCTACTCTGATGAGTGGAAATGGCAGGCCGCGGCTGCACGGGAGAGGCGGTGACAGGGACCCACCTCCCGAGTTCAGGGATGCAGCTCTGAGGAGCTCCCGTCTCTGGACAACTTGTGCGTCTTGAGTCTGGTTTCTCCGCCCCCCGGGGCATCTCTCTGCCTCCCATGCCTTGCGCCTTGGTCCATCCTGCTCTCTGCCCTTCCCCTGTCCTCTGTCGCCCACCCTGTCTGTCTGTCTGTCTGTCTGGGGGTATGGATCCGTCCCCCCACACCGCCCTTCCTCTTCGTGTTTGTTTGTGTCGGGGCCTCCGCTCCGGGCCTGGGTGTGGGGCCGGCTCTCATCCCAGCCAGCTCTCTCTAACCAGAATTTCCAGTTCCAGCTTGACAAAGAGCCCCGTTCTGAAGCCAAGCTAGGGTGGGGCTTCCAGGAACCCAGGCTGCCCCCCATCTCCCGGCTTCGCTCATTCAACAAGCACCTTCGTGGCCCGAGGTGCGTGCCAGACTCTGGGCTAAGCCTCTTCGACTGTTTAGTGCTCCTCCAGGAGGCAGGCGCTGCTCTTTTTTTTTCAGACGGGGACGCAAAGGCACAGAGTGACCGTGTCACTTGAGCTCAGGCAGCCCAGCTCTAGAGCTCCAGCCCTAAACCACTAGGAACAATGTCTCTTTTGCTGGTCCTGCTCTCTGAGTGTGGGGCGGAGGGAACCTGATCTAGGAGACAGTATACACCTGGACTCGGTGTCGAGTTGGTGTGTGACTTTCGCTGTCCCCCATGGGCTCCAGCTGTCTTATGGATCAAGTGAGGGGTGGTGGAACACACCCAGCCCTCGGGGGGTCCGTGACCTCACTTCGAGGAGCGTACTCCGGCCCGGGCCCTGGCCAATCACGAGCACTGATCCCAGCATTGACCTGCTACTCACCCTCCAGTGCATGCCCCAGCCAGCCACCCCCACTGCAGATTCCAGCCCTTCTCAAGTGAGGAAGGCTTTTGTGGAAATGTGGACCCGGGCCACCAGAGGGCACAGGTACCCCGACTTCCCACCCATCACCCAGAATGAACTCTGCTCTGTGGGAGAAGCGTGAACTCTGAGTCCGGCCTTGTGAACCCCGGGGAATTCCAAGGTGGGAGGGGACAGTGGCTTTCTGTCACCCTGAGGGGAGCTCGCAGCCATGACCCGGCCCATTCCCACCCAAACCCCACGCCCACGCAGACCGCTCAGCTGCACGTCCAGGCTCCAGGATCAACAGCAACGCACGACGCCATCTCAGCCGCCTTCCAACGCCTCCCCATCCAAGCCCTCGGTCCCGGCCACACCTCCAGCCCCAACCCACAGGGCTCCGTCAATGGCATCATCCCCAGATCTCTCCCCTCTGCCACCCGGTCCTATCCCCCAAACCAACTCCAACCCCGTCCTCGCCCCAAATTCTCCTCCCCAAATGCTTGCGTTCCCGCCGCCCTCGTCGGACCCACGCCAAACCCGACCACACACTCTTCTTCCGAGTGTAGGAAAAAATGATAAAAGAGGCCGAGATAGACCCAGACCTGTGTCTTTGATGGAAAACTAGACGGGTTACCCGATTTTAGGGGCTCTCTGCTTCTTTTCCTGTCTTCGAGCTGCTTTACATTCAACTCTGTAGATCATAGATAGCGGATAGCAATGCAAAAATAATTCTTGTCCATAACCGTGCAAATGAGTCTGGCCAGGGGCAAGCACGATGAATTTCCCTCCCACCCATGTGGAATAAGGCAATTTTGGTTCTATTTATAAGTTTGTTTCAGCATTTCTTATCACCGATGCCCGTGTGGTTCTCTGCCACATTTGCTAGCTCCATCCCTTACTAATGATCCAGAATCATGTCTCAGACGTATGTCCATTTCGTACACGTGGGAGAGTCAAGGTTAGGTCCTTTCTTAAAAATGATCTGTCGCCGCTACATTTGATGCCTACGGCCCGACGCGAACGGCCCCCAAATACGGCCGCGCCAGTCTGGATGGGAACTGTCCCTCTGAGGCTCGGTCCATCTCGACGCCTTATCCTTATTGTGACACCACTGCTCTGTCTCTTTCCAAATGTCACCTGGTCCCCAGGCCAGCCTCCCTACCTTTGTCTTCCTCAATCCTTAATCCTGCTCTCTCCGCCCCCTAAGATTAACTCACAGCCCCACCCAGCCACGGTTCCAGGAGACACCTACTCATTCCCACAACCGGCCCCTCACCCCAGCCCCCAGAACTTTCCATCTCCACCTCCGCGCCCGTGGACTCCCTCACCCGACCTGGCCCTGCTCCAAAAAGGCCGTTTGTTTATCCAAAACGCTGCTTCCCCCAAACATTGCGTCCCCGGGCCCAGCCCTTACCCCCATCCTGGCCCAAGGACGGGTGACTTGCAGCCGCCTGGGCGAACGCCCGCTTCCTGCGCTCGACGGTTGGGTGTGGCATGCGGTGGATAAATGGGAGAAGGACTCTGGGCATCCCTGTGTCTTCTAGAAGCGCAGGGGCAGGGGGCGAGGCCGAGGGCTGGAATTTAGAGGTGTTGCATTGGACGTGGAGGGATGAGCTTGAGATGAAGCTGTGGCGGGTTCAGAGGGACAGGCCGGAGCGGGAGGGACGTGGTCGGAAGCTCACAGGAAGGTTGGGACGCTGTGGAGATGGCCTTCTGGGAGAACGTGCGTGGGGTCGGAGTGGATATTGGAACGTGGAACGGAAAATGGGTTTATGTTACAGGGGAGGGTCATGGGGACTTAGGGTAGATTTAGGGGAGGAAACCTTAGGCTTCCCCTTCCCTCTAGATGGGCCCCGCAGCCTGCAAGTTCACAGTGGGTTCAAGTCAGGCTCGGGTGGGGCAGCGTCTGGGTCCCAGCTTGTCCCGAAGCTCCGCCCCCAAGTGGAGGGCCAAGCCCACACTGGGGGTGCCTGGCGATCAACCTGCTGAGCCATTGGGGGTGGAGAGGGGGTAGGCCTGCAACCGGGAAATGCTGAGGGCCCTGGGGGAGGGAGTTCAGGGGTTAAAAGCCATGGGTTGGGGCTGAAGTTGGAGGCAGCTGGCTGCAGAAGCTCTTCCAGGCCCCTCGCCCAGGTAGGGTCAGCCTGGGGCTGGGGCTGGAGCATTGGAGGAGAGGAGCCGAGAGACGGGGAGGAGGGACAGGTGAGGAGGGATGGGGAAAGTGGGAGCACAGCTGAGTCAGGAAAACGGAGAGGGGAACCAGAGACTCGGTCAGGGATGGAGAGGTGCCGGCACGCAGGGAGACAGCTTGGTTTGAGACCAGGAGTCAGCAGCAGCCCTGGGAGAGGAGACAGGGGCTGGAGCGGGGACCGAGGACCCAGGCTGCTGGCGGGCGGGGCTGGAGGTGCCTGCCACCTCGGTCCAGGTCCAGGGCGGCAAGCTAGTGCCCTTTAACTGCCCCCCACCCCCATAAATCTGGGGAGAGGTTGCAGATTCCTGGGTCAGAGTTCTCAGAGTGGAGATCCTGGCGGCAAAGCTCAGGAGCAAAGGTGGGGGGCTCAGAGATGGGGGTTCCGCCGCCCTCAATACCCTCTCTAACTTCTCAGGCCCCTCGCGCCCTGCCCTCACCCCGGAGCCGCCATGTGGCCCCTGGCCTCAGCAACATGGCCCCTGGCCTCAGCGATGGCCTTCCTGACCGTGGCCTTGTCAGGAGGTAAGAATGCATGAGGGAAGGGGGAGGGGCGGGGCGGCCACGCCAGACAGCAGTAGGAGGGGCCAGGCCACGGGGCGGGGGCCAGGTGGGGGCGTGGACAGCCCCCAGACCCTCCTGCTTATCCTCCAGCGACCTGGTTTCTTGGTGGGGGCCCCGCCCGCTGTCCCCACCGACCCCAGTCCCTTGCGTCCCCGCAGGCCACCTGGCCTCGCTCATCAGCTCATCAGGGCCGTCGGGCAGACGTGAGGTCAAATCCCAACGCTGCCCCTGCAAGCCAGTAACTCGCTCCTCTGTGCCAAGGTCGTGGCACCTGTAAAATGCGGACGTACGGGTCACCTCCACAAAGGGTTGTTGCAAGTGCTAAAACGAGGTAACCCCCAGTCATGGGCTGAGCCCGTGACAGCCAGAAGACGTGGAAAGGTAGCCGACACTACCGCTTTATTAGTAGTATCTTCTATCCATTCTCAACCCCTTCCAGAACCTTCTAGTTCTTCCTTTCATCCTTGGGGTGAGCCCAAACCTACCGGAGTTGGTCCTCTCCTCACATGTAAGCCCCGCTCCCTCCCCGCCTTTGCAGGCAAGTTCTCCAGAAACCCCGGAACCCCATTCACGCATCATTCATTCACTCACTCGTTCCATCAGCGACAGCTTCGAGGGTGGCAGGCGGCGTGTGCTGGGTGCCGGGTGCTGAGCAAGCAGTGACGGCGCCCGCTCCCGGCACCCACAGCCTAGCGGAGACGGCTGCAGACGTTCAGGCAATTACCCTAATCATTAGTTACAACTCTGACACGAGGTGCGGGCTTCGAGGGGCCAGTGGGGGGGGCCAGGGGTTCCACTGGTGGCTCCCCGCCCGAAAGGCACCCCAGGGACCAGACCCGCGAGCTGAGACCTGGAGGAGGGAGGGGTCCCAGGCACTAGGCACCCAGCACCACCCCTGACCTGGAGGCAGGGTGGTTTCTCTCCTTTGGCCACGGTCCTAAGACTCCTGCGTGTCTCCTGAGTGCCGCGCCCTGGGCCAGGAGCTCCACATGCATTGGCTTGTGGAGTCCCCAGCAGCCGCGAGAGGCGTGTGGACTATAATTACCCTAATTTCACAGCTGAAAAGCCCAAGACTCTCGAGGCAGGAGAGCCCTGCCCGGGCAGCCCTGTCTGAGCCAGGGTCCCCTCCTGTCCCCCACATCCTGGACTTCACACCTCGGCAAACCATCCTGATGATTTTTTTAGACCTAATGGTCCGCTTAGACTCCTTTTTTTTTTTTTTTTTTGCTTAAAGCATATTAAGAGTAAAGCTGATCTCACTGTCCCAAGTGGAAAACCGCATCTCTCGCTATAGATAAAGGAGAAAAAAATAAATCTCGCACAGTCAAACGAAGATGATATGTTTATTGGGTCGGACCACCTAAAACCGCCCATCGTCGACCCTTTTTACCTGCGATTGCAGACGGTTCAACCTAATGAATTTTAGGCTGTGGGCCGAGGGGTTCTGCTCCCTTTTGGTTTTGAGAAATGAGCTCAGCAGGATTAGAGAGGTGTTTAGAAAAACCATAGCTGCTCCATCGTGGGAGCTTCTCCTCGATCAAATCAGCACTGACCGAGAACTGGACGCTGACTGAGTTTCCGAGGATGCAATTCGATGTCACTTACGCCTCATCCCCGTACCACCTCAAGGGACCGCGTGCCCACCCGTGACTCCTGACCTGACTTTGAGAACTGCCACACTGACCCCTTTGCTACTGCAGGCGAGGGAGGGCCGTGAGCTGGGGACTTCCTGTCGTAGTCCGTAGTAACGGTCCCCACTTCCTGAGTGCTGTGCGTGTCTTAGATGTAGAATTTGACTGCATCCTACCACTGCCCCGCGGGAGATGAAACTGGTACTTCCGCTCCTCCAGAGGTGAGAGGCCCGAGGCTGGCGATCTGTAGTGGGATCATCCCTCCGGTCAGATCATCCCTCCCTCATTCAGGCTGGATGTTCTCCGTCCCAATGTCGGTTGCTGTGCCCCCGATGCTGGGCATGGTGCCTGGCACACACGCCCTTCGCTGGTTAAGCACCTACTGTGTGCCAGACGCCGTGCCAGGTGCCAGGCTTGGGATGCGGGGACTGAACAAAGCAATGAGGGTGCCTTGTCGGTGGATCTGACAGTCCAGATGGGGAGATTTTTTTTTTTAAAGACACAGAAATGTAAACAAAGATAAAGAGAAGTGAATAGTGATGGTAGATCTGAGAATGAATTGGAGGGGGTGACGGGGGAGCTCGGAGGCGCAATATTAGACCAGGTGGCCGGGAGGAGGGGCAGGGATGTCTTCTCTGAGGAGGTAACATGTGAGCTGAGCTCTCAGAATCAATAGGGACCCAGACATGTAAGCTTTAGATTCCGAGTGCCAGTCAGTAGATTATTTCTCTGTCTATCTGTCCATCATCTGTCTGCCTGTCTATCTATCATCTATCCATCTGTCTCTCCGTCCTATATCTGCACCGTCCACTATGGTGGCCCCTGGCCACTTGAGCATTTTCAAATGTGACTAGTGTGACTGAAGAACTGACTTTTTAAATTTCATTTCAATTGATCTAAATTTAAACAGCCACACGCGGCCGGTGGCTACCGTACGGAACGGTGCAGATCTAAAGAGGAAACCAGGAAGCCAGCGACTGCGAAGGAGAGCCGGTCTGAGGGACGGGAGGCTGGCAGGGGCTGGGTGGAGGGGACGGAGGAGCGGAGGTCTGAGGACAGAGTCCGGCACACGCCGCCGTGAGAGCTGAGCCGGTGGCCGGTGTTTGCAGAGGCGCCCTGCAAATGTGTCGCGAGCAGGGACGGAGGCCGCCGAGTTGGGTGTGTCGGTTTGTCTCCCTCCCGGCTTCTGAAATCCAACCCCAAGCGTCCTCTGGAAGTGGTTACCGGAAAATGCGGATGGGGAGAAAGTCCGATCTCTGCTACCCGACCGGAAGCATCCTCCTCCTGCGAGTTCTTCTTTCCAGCCTAGGGGAGGGTGTGACACTCCTACGGAGAAGGACTTTGTCATTTCTGTGCCCTGATTCGTCCCCGTCACTTAAGAGAATGGCAACTCCCAGGGGACAGGAAACAAATCGTCAGTCGCTGGTCACCTAGAGCAAGTTCTGACCCTGGCCCCAAGCCCGGGAACCACACGCCTCAAAGCCTCCTCCTCAACCCGGACCCCAATTCGCTAAGATTTTTTTCTTCGCCAGGCACGTCTCAGGAGTATCCCAAGATTCTCAATGGCACCAATGGGACCAACGGGTTTCTCCCAGGCGGCTACACCTGCCCCCCACACTCTCAGCCCTGGCAAGCAGCCCTGCTCGTGCAGGGGCGGCTGCTCTGCGGGGGGGTCCTGGTCCACCCCAGATGGGTCCTCACGGCAGCGCATTGTCTGAAGACGTATGTAGGCGCAGGGGAGCCCGGGGCAGGGAGGAGAAGGGGACTGGCGTGGGGGGCGGGGGCTGGAGCTGGAGCTGAGCATGAGTCTGGACTTGGGGTCGGGATGGGAACGGGTGAGAAAGAGGTTTGGGGTGGACACGGAGGGTTTGGCTGGGCGTGGAGTTGAGATGCTTCTGGAGACGAGGAAGGCGGGGTGGAGGAGTTCGGAGACAGAGGTGGGCTCAGGCTGTCCTCTAACCGCCCCCTTCCTGCATCCACAGCGGGTTCAGAGTTTACCTGGGCAAGCATGCCCTGGGGCGTGTGGAGGCCGGGGAGCAGGTGAGGGACGTGGTCCGCCACATCCGCCACCCGCAGTACCAGAGCAGCCCCACGCACCTGCACCACGACCACGACATCATGCTCCTGGAGCTGCAGTCCCCGGTCCAGTCCACCAGCCACATCCGCGTCCTGCCGCTCTCCTACCGAGACTGCCTCCCCCCCGGCACCGGCTGTCGCGTGTCCGGCTGGGGCACCACCACCAGCCCCCAGGGTATGCACCCACGCAGGGGGCCCGAGGTCTCTCAGAGTGCAGAGACCGGGGCCGAGGTGGGAGGGGAGGTCGGAGGGTTCCTTCATACATAAAAATATATTTATATTTATGTGACATAGTACGTCTAACACAATGTATCCTTTACGTATCCTTATAGTACATATAACACAATGTATCCTTTATATAAATATAAATTTATATATAAAGTGACATGTCATATATATCCTTTATATACATTATATATATAAAGTCATACATTATATAGATGTTCTAGATCATGTATATATTTATATGACCTTTATATAAATTTATAAATATATATATTTACATACTATAGTGACAGCGATAGTATATATTGTAGTATACATTGTATATTTGCGTATTTATAAAACTATACATCACTATGCAGCTGTAGGTAAATATGCAAACTATAAAAGTTGGATTCATTTTCTAAATTATTGACGTATTTATTTCGATAGGTGTGTACGTAAGTGGTATGTTATGCATACATCTATTTCGGTACACACATATGCAATTTATAAAATAACTGATCTATGGAGAGGTATGTATTTAGTATAGACTTAGTAAACATAGCAAAATGTAGACAGCTCTGTCCCCCGTATATAAGTTAAATGCGTGTGACGATGACGTCGATCTCCATAGCGAGAGCTCTCGGTGTCACCCTCACGTCCCTCGCGGTGTCCCGGCCGCTTCTGTCTTTCTGCCCGGCGTGCCCACCCCCCTTCCCACTGCTTCCCTGCCCCCCGCTTCCCGCATCTTCCTCTTCTGTCCTCTGTCTCTCACTGACCCCCCCAATGAACTGCCGCCCCACAGCCTGTCCAGATCAGATATCCTTAGAGATCTTCCTCTCTCTCCTCCCCAGTGAGTTACCCCAAAACCTTACAATGTGCCGACATCCAGCTCCGCTCGGATGAGGAGTGTCGTCAGAAATATCCGGGGAAAATCACACCCAACATGCTGTGCGCTGGCACCAAAGAGGGTGGCCAGGACTCGTGTGAGGTGAGGCCACGGCGGGGCTCGGGGCGGCGGGGGCGGGCGCCAGGGGCCGAGACGAGAGGCCAGGGTGGAGGTGGACACAGGTGCCGGAGGGGGACGATTTGCTTCTCGGCTTGGGGGAACCAGTCTTTGTAAGGTGAGATATCCCCTAGCATGGAGGGCCAAGACCAAAGGGAATGAGTATATCCGTGGGTGGCAAATATAATTCATCCTAAGCCCCGGGTTTGACTGACAGCAGCTGCCCGGATCCTTGTGTTGACAGGCATAAAGGTTAGGATTCTTTTGGTTGCAAGTGACAGAAATCCACCTCACACTGCCTTGAGCCAAACGCTGGCTTTCGTAAGTGAAAAGTCCGGGGGATGCTGCTTCAGGCACGGATGGATCCAGGTGCACACATAATGTGTTTAGGACTGTCTCTTCAGCTCTTCTCTCCTGTTTCAACTTCATTCTCAATTACCTGAAGCTCTTCCCATGCAGTTACAAGGTGGTCCCAGCAGCTTTGGGCTTACATCCCACCCTCTAAGCAATCCCGCTGGAGAGAGAGCGCATGCCTTTTCCAATAGTTTCCATAAACATCTCGAGCATGACTCTCACTAGACCGACTGAAGTCATGTGTCCTGGAACCGTCACACGAGCCAGAGCTGTGGGATTCTCTGATGGACCCGAGTCTGAGTCACAGGTTATAAACAATGGATTAAACAGACAGAATCTTCTGCCCTTGCAGAGCTTTTTTTTCCCCAGGGAGACGTACGATAAAAAATATAAAGAAATAGCCTGTCTCTCTGTCTCTCTGTCTCTCTCCCTCTCTCTGTCTGTCTCTCTGTCTCTCTCTCTGTTGTCTTCCCCCGTCTCTGTCTCTCCCTCTCTCTCTCTCTCTCTCTCTGTCTCTCTCTCTCTCTCCCTCCATTTCTTGCTGTGTTGCCATCCCCCACCGTCTCTCCGCATCCCTGTCTCTGCCTCCGCGTGCACCTCCTCCCCACAAGTCCCCGTCTCTGCTTCAGTTCAGTCCCAGCAAGAACTCCACCTCTCTCCCCTCCACTCAGGGTGACTCCGGGGGCCCCCTGATCTGCAACGGAACCCTCCACGGCATCGTCTCCTGGGGAGACTTCCCATGCGGGCAGCCCGACCGGCCCGGCGTCTACACGCGAGTCTCCCAGTATGTTTCGTGGATCCGAGAGACAATCCAAAACAAGAACGCCCACAAGCAGAGATGGACGAAGGGCCCACAATAAAAAGCTGGGTTGACATACCTGCCTCCTTCCTCCCACTATGCCCCGCTTGCTCGGCTGGCCCAGCCCCCTCTGCCCCTCCCAGAGTGTTCCAGCATCATGGTCTCCCAGACACGCCATTCCTGAAACATTCTAGCCCCCCGCATGTCCCAACTCAGACACGTTCCATGTTTCCCAACTGTCTTGAGATAAACCCACCTCTGGCCTGGCCCAACAATATTCTGTGTCCTGTGAACGAGCCGACCTTGACAAGACCCTACCCCGCGTGGGGTATTTATTCACTGCTAATGTTCCAGATCCTCCTACTTTTTGTACTCAGGAAGGTTCTAGACTCCCATGACATTTCATTCTGAAACTATTCTCTCGTGCCCACGGTCTTCCGTGCTGACTGCTTTCTATGCCCCTCTGAATGACTCGTCACAGCTAAGCTCATAATGGTTCCTCATAATGGTTTGTTCTCACAGTTTGGGCCTCCCAAATGTCCTATCCCTACCTACACCCCACATTCTGTCACCATCTGGCCTCTGCCAATATTCCCAGTGTCTGAATCCCCACGCCCACTACATATCAACAACTCTCTAGAGCCTCGAGTGATGCGGTTTCGTATCCCGAGGGGGTCTCCACACCCGGGCCCTATTGTCCATCAGATATCTTGTCCTGTCTCCTCCACGAGCACCCTTGTTCAAGGCCCCTTGCGGTTTGCTGTTGTTACGTTTTTGGCCATGAACCCAGAATGCAGTGGTCCAATGCTCAAGCCTGCTTCAAACGAGTCAGAAAATTCAACACGTCTCTTTTCTCATCGGTTAAACGGGGCTTGTAGTGTTTCCACATAGCATCGTTACGAGGATAAATGTCAAATGCTTGTACCAATCGCATGGTTCCCTGCAAAGTATTACCTTAGAGTGTCAATGACCACCTGTTTGCGGGGGTGTCCAAAAGGTGTCGTATTTATTTATTTTTCTTGGCAAACATTTATTCCGTGCTGACGTGTGCAGACACTTCTGCTGGGTGTTGGTGAATACGATTTTGTTTGCTCAACAAATATTTTGTACCTGTCATGAGCCAGGCACTACTGTAGATACAGATTATAAACAATGAATTAAACAGACAAAATCTTCTGCCCTTGTAGAGCTTTTTTTTTTTTTCCCAAGGGAGACATGCGATAAAAAATATAAAGAAATAGACTGTTGGTGGCCAAAAAAACAAAAAACAAAAAAAGCAAGGTGGAAGGATAGGAAATGTTGGGGTCAGAGAGAGTGGGGGGTTTGCTATTTTAAATACGATGGTCCAGGAAGGAGACACGTTTTCACACAAGAGTCCACGATGTGTTATAACATATACCAATTAAAAACAAAAAAACAACTACAACATTGTGAATGTACTAAATGCCACTGAACTGTTCACCTGAAATGGTTACTTTTACGATATGTAAATTTCACCTTAATTTTTTAAAGAAGCTCTGTGATAATAAACGGCAACAGCAAAAGATACACAGTAACAAAGACAAGAGCCAAGGATACACAGTCATAAGAACAGTAGCAAAGGACACACAGGGACGGAGACCTTAGCTGAAGGGTAAAGGAACGGGGATCAATAAAGAATAAAATCAGGGGAATGACAGGGGCCTCGTACAGATCACCAATTCGACTCTCTCCATCTGAGGATTAAGAACTAGCTAAATATATTAAGACTTTTTTTTTTTTTTAAATAACACCTGCTTCAAAGAGCTTTTGAGAGGATTAATGACGGGAACGTGTGAAAAGCCCTGGAAACGACGCCCTCGTGCCGAGGGTTGACTCAGTGGCAGCTGTCAAGGGCTTCGTTGCTCTTATTGATATAATTGTTATGATGCCGTGTCTGCAGCCAGGACAAGCTGCCTTGGGTAACAGCTGGGGATTTGAGAGAGTAAGAGGTGGCCGCCCAAATTCTTCCTGTGGAACAGAAAATAATGACATACCTGAGCTGCAGATTCTGGCTGCCCACACCTTAAAGCAGGACGGCCCGCCAGGTGGCCGGCCAGGCTTCCAGGCTTCTCAGCTGTCCCTCGTCCCTCCCTCTCCCAGGATTTCCGAGCCAAGCCGTCTCCTCTTCTGGCTTTTGCCCAGGGGAATTTTAATAACAATGGGGACTCAGGCAGGGAGGAATTCGGTGGAGGGAGGGGGTGAAGAAGACGGGGAAAGAAAAGCGAAGAAGGGAGGGACTTTCCGACTCTGGTCCAGCATGGAGGCCCTTTTCATCCTTCCAAGGCCCCCACTGAGGAAATGTCAGCTCCCCGTTTTTACTCAAATATCGACCCAAACTAAGGAAAATTCTCCAGTGGGTTGAACCCGACAGACGGATGGAAACACATTCCCGTGCTTTCTCAGAGATTGCTGTCTTTTAGTCTGGAAGGTTCGGGCCAAGCTCAGCCACGGCCCCAACCGTGGGCCTTGTATAAGGGACTGGGCTGCATGTTCCAAGGTAACAAGGATAATGGGGCTCTGCTCCTCATTCCGATGTGTGTGGGGATGGGGATTCTCCCACTGCGGCAAGCAGTTCTCAGACATCGGCTGACCCTACCTGGAGAGAGTCAGATCCTATGGGTGAAGGGCTCAGTCCCACAAAACTGTCCCCCACCCCAGCCCCACTTCAGACACCAGTCACAGGTCCAGGTTGTCACCTGTGCTTCTGACCACCAGCTGTCGATCGGAGGCTTCCATGCTCTCCTCACCCTTGGGTTCGATTAATTGCTGGAGCTTACTAGGTCACCGATTTACTATAAAAGGATATAACTCGGGAATGGCCGGAAGGGAGAGATGCACAGGGCCAGGTATGTGTGAGGGGAGTCGGAACTTTCAAGCCCTCTCCGAGTGCCACTGTCCCCAAGTAACCAAGTGTTCACTGACCCCGAAGGCTCTCCTTTTTGGGTTTTTATGGAGGCCTCATTACATAGGCATGATTGATTAAGTCATTGGCCATGGGTGACTGGTTCAACCCCCAGCTCCTGTCCCTTGCCCAGACTGAAAGTTCCGACCCTCTCCCCCTGACAACCATCCCGCCACCCTTGGGTGCTTTTCAAAAGTCACCTCAGTAACATCGCAAGACACCTTTATCGTTCCCTTCACTGAGAACATTCCAAGGGTTTTAGCAGCTCTGTGCCAGAATCAGGGATGAAGACCAAATGTCTCTTTCTCGTGACAAATCACAATATCACAGTGGGCAATGAGCCTTTAAGCCCAAGCTTCTATTGTAACAGGCTCAGTGATCAGATGAGCTAAGGAAACAGGTTGTGGGAGGGGTGAGGAGGCAGGAGGCCCAGGTCAGGCTTTTTCGGAGGGTGGGATGGTGAAGGATAATGCTGTAGCCACCCCCAGGAACAAGACGGACACCCGGAGCTCAGGAGACAGGCAGCAGGTAGTGGCTGGGGAAGTCTTGGGAGCTGATGGGACCTCTCAGAAGCAGCAAGGGAACGAGGTCCTAGACAAGATCAGTCTCCTGAGGGTCTGGACCAGGGGACTGTGACAGCGGAGCCACCACACAGACAATGAGTGGGATCTGAGAACAGGTCGATGTGGACAGACAGTGAGCTTGGGTTTTCAGGAGGCTGTTGGAGGCACAGGCCTGAAGCTGAGGAGAGGGTTGGGAACTGATCCGCTCCAGGTGATAGGTGACAAATTGTCAGGTGTGCATAGTCGGAGCATAAGACACGGTTCAGGACGGGGACCCGGGAACACCCTTGGTTGCACACACCAAGGAGGACAAAAAGACCTATTCATGAAGGAAGCCAGGAAGACGAGCCAGCAAAGTAGGAGGAAAACCAGAAATGCACGCCATCCGGGGACTGGGAAAGGAGCAGCCGGCGTGTGGAATGCTGTGGCAAGGTTGAGTAAGGGAAGGGCAGACAGGTGACCGCTGGCTTGCTCTACGTGGAAGTCACTGGAAACCCCAAAAGCGCAGGGCCACGGGGTGCAAGCCGTGAGCAAATCTCCGTGGAGTTTTGCCGGGAGGGATGCTAGAAAAAAACGGAGATATGGGGCTTGGTTTTGATGAATTCTGTGGTCCCGGCGTCATCCAGCAGAGAGCCAGGCACACAGGGCACTTCGAAATGTTTGTTTAGTGAGTGAATGAATGAATGAATGAGTATACAAGTGAGTGAACAAATGAATGAGCGGAGAACTAGAATGAGAGTTAGTTATAAGGTAGCTGAGAGAGAAAGAAATTGTAGCACCTCTGAGGAACAAAGAGATGCTGTCACCTCAGCCAGATTTGATCATCCTCTTTCTCCGAAACCTGTAGCGTTGATACGGTCACCTATTCACGTGTACTCATTCAGTCAGTCAGTCATCTGCTCATTCATATATCTGGATGATGATTAACAACACAGGCTGTGGAGACAGCCTGCCTGGGTTCAAACTCTGGTTCTGCCACGTACCAGCTGTGTGGGTGAGTCTGGGCAAGTGACTTCACTTAGTGGAACTTCATTTCCACGCCCACGACCAGGTGTCGGGGTGGCTGAGTTCTCTGTAGGCGATGAGTTTTCATATCGTGCACGAAAAGACGATGCCCAAGAGGAAAGCAGCAGCTGTGGGGACTTGAGAACTCCGGGGGTTCTCTGGGGGAGGTGGCAAAGGTGCTCAGAGCTTTCTCTGAAAGCGGGAGGTGTGTGGCTGCAAGTCAGTCCCTGTCCTCCGAGCCTCCAGCTACAAAAAGAAAGGATCTGGCTTTAGCCGGAAGCCACAAGCTGCAAGTCCGTGTGTCAGAGAGAACCACTAAGCGGTCACTCCCCATTATCCACTGCCCTCAGCCCCCGGCAGCCACTCATCCGCCTCCTGTCCCTGTGGATTTGCCCATCTTGGACATATTTCATATAAATGCAATCTGACAATACCTATTTTTGTGACTGGCTTCTTTCACTGGGCATCATGTGGGGGGTGGGATGGGGGAGAGAGAGAGAGACAGAGAGAGAGAGAGAGAGACAGAGAGACACAGACACCGAGACTGAAAGGAGAATCTGTGTTGGACCAAGAGTTGTGTTTTCTTTTCTTTCTTTTTTTTTTTTGGTGGGGAGGCGGGACTGCCAATATTTACAGTTGAGTGATGTCCCAACATAAATCTGAATTTCCAGCTTTTCTTGAAAAGTCAGAGGATCCAGCAACACAGCCAGTGCTCAGCATGGAGGCTGAAGGGTGAATTTTATTACGTGTAAATTGCACCTCAATAAACCAGGTCACCTGTCCCCACTCCCCAACCCCCCGAAATACACAAAAAGGAAGAGGTTGAGTTAGGTGGTGCTCGGCACAAGTCAAAAGCAGAAGTTTTGTGATTCTGAACTCAGAGCGAGAAAGAGACCCAGCACCACCACCCCTCCCCCGGAAAAGACAGGAGTGGAGCCACTTTCCTGCACCGGGAGGGGCCCCAGCTGTCCACGCACCCCGCCCTCCCGGAGACTTCGTCACTGGAGTCGGGATTAGAACCCAGCTCCCAGATCACCTTGAGTCACCGGCCGGGGGCTTGCTGGCCGGTCTGGGGAGGAAGCGAGAGGAGCGGGGCCGGGTGTTTCCCCCAGAGCCCGCCCAGACCCCTGCCTCACTCCCCTTCCATTCAGCTGTAAAGCTTAATTAAGTGTCATTAGTCAAGAAGAGGATTAGAGGGTGCCCCGCCTGTGTCTTCCGTGTCCCCTTCCCTCCACCAGGAAACCGAACGGGCTGGGAGTTAAAAGCTGTGTCAGCTGCCAGTCTGGGACAGACAGACAGAAGGAGGGGGACAGGTGGGGCAGCATGACAGGTGGCTGAGAAGCCAGGTGGACAGTGGGAGCTCGGACCGGCAGATGATGAGAGAGGCAGGCAGGTAAGCAGACAGGTGACAGAGACCCAGGCCAAAACTGCAGCAGCCACACGGTGTCCCCAGCAGGCAGAGACGCCAGGCGAGCAGGGGGCAGGCAGTCGCCGGTGAGGGGGTGGCAGAGAGAGGGCAGGGCGGCCCATGCCCCACCCCCCGGGGAGCCGACGGTGGGCAGGGTAGGGAAGGGGGGCGCCATCTGAGCCCCCCACCTTTACCCCCAGAACTTGGAGGTGGCCCACCATGGGGTCCAGCATCTTTTTGCTCCTGTGTGTTATTGGTGAGTTTTCCGGCAGGGAAGGAGGGTCCCTCCCTCCCCCACGAGGGGGCTCCCATCTCCCTATCTCAGCTCTGCCCCCCAGCCTGGCCCTGAGTGGGGGGGCTGACCCTGTGCCTCCATTCACCTCCAGCTCCCGGGATTCTGCCCTCCTCCCGCCCTGTCTTGTGATCCACCTCCCCTCTGTCTCCCCCTGTCCTTCTGTCCGTCTGTCTGTCTCTGTCTGTCTCTCTCTCTGAGTCTCTGTCGTTAAGCCTCTCTGTTTCTCTCCTTCTCTTCCTCTCTGGACCTGTTGGGTGTTTCACTGTGTCTTCTTCTATACGTCGTGAGGTCTGTCTCCCTGTGTCTGACTGTCTCAGGATCTCTGCTTTCCTCTTGTGTCTGTCTGTCTGTCTGTCTGTCTGTCTGTCTGTCTCTCTCTCTCTCTCTCTCTCTCTCTCTCTCTCTCCCCGTCTCTCCATCTCTCTTCCCACCCCTGATCCACAATGTCGAGGTCTCTGACCCCACCTCTCCGGCCCACGCTCCCGTCCTCAGGGCTCAGCCACGCATCCACGGAGAAGATTTACAACGGCACGGAGTGTGTCCCCCACTCGCAGCCTTGGCAGGTGGGGCTGTTTGAGGGGACCAGCCTGCGCTGTGGGGGGGTCCTCATTGATCGCAGGTGGGTCCTCACGGCTGCTCACTGCAGCGGCAGGTAAGCCCCCTGTCTAGGTCCCTTCCTGGGGTGGGCAAAGGAGGGATTTGGGGAGAGGGGCTCCTGGGAGGGGACGTCGGGGAGTAAGGAGATGGTCCTGCCACAGAGAGTTTGAGGTTACGGGAGGAAGGTATGGGCTTCATCGATGGTGGGCCTGGGGTGGGGCTGGGTGGGGTGCCGTGGGGTGGAGGGTTGGGGAGGGTCCTGGGACCTGCCCGCCCGCCCATCCCATTCCCCCCATCCTCCTTCCTTCCTACACGGTATCTGGCACCAGCCCCAGCCATTCCCTGGCCCAGGCGGGGCTCTGGGCCCATGTCCGACACACACTCTTTGTGCGGCCTCAGCTGCCGCACCTGTAAAATGAGAGGGTCGGGCTTTCCAGGTCTGACACGCCGGAGTTTTTGCAAAAGGGAAGTTTTGGACACGGAGAGACAGAGAGATTCGGGGACGGGGAGAGACACCAGCAGGACAGAGAGCATCCGTTTAGCTGACAGTATCAACAGCCCGGGCAGTGTCCCAGGTGCTGGAAACGGAGCAGTGAACAAGGCTGACAGACGTCCCTGCCCCTGCGGGCCTCACCGGCGGAGAGAATCAGAAAGTGACACGGCTCCGGTGGCCTGGGGAGGAGAGATGGAGGCCGAGACCCCGGAAGAGAGAGGCCTAGAGAGAGAGCGAGCCCGTGAATGCGGGGGGAAGAAAACAGATGTGGGGTGCAGAGCAGCGGAGAGAGGCGGGAGGGCCCGGGGGCCCGGGGGCCGCCACCCGCTGAGCCTCCGCGACCTTCAGCAGGTACTGGGTGCGCCTGGGGGAACACAGCCTCAGCCGTCTGGACTGGACGGAACAGATCCGGCGCAGCGGCTTCTCCGTGACCCACCCCAGCTACCAGGGAACCCTGCAGAGCCACGACCACGACCTGCGGCTTCTGCGGCTGGGCACCCCGGTCATCCTGACCCGCAGCGTCCAGCCCCTGGCCCTGCCCACCTCCTGTGCAGCGGCCGGCACCAAGTGCCACATCTCGGGCTGGGGCACCACCAGCCATCCGTGGAGTAAGGGGGCCTGGGGTCAGGGGTCGGGATGAGCAAAAGTCTGGGGTATCGGAGGAGAGGTCAGGAGTCGCACCATCTCAGAGGAAGGATGGGCAAAAGGTCAAACATTGGGATTGTGCTTTGGAGTCAGAGATGAGGGCGGATTAGGTCTGGGGAGTCCAAGTGGTTAAGGGTGGAAGATGGAGCCAGAAGTCATGGGTCAGGGAGGGGTTAGAGGTCAGAGTGCTGTCAGGGGTCATCAGACCGCAGCAAAAGGCATACGTAAATAGGCTCATGCGGTCATGGGTCGAGGTCATCGAAGAGTTGAGGTCGTGGGCTCCAGATGTCGCACAAGCTGGCCACAATCTAGGATGGAAACTGGGGATCACTGGTGTGGAATTGGAAGCCGTAGAGTTTGGAGTGTGGAGCCAGAGGTTAAGGGTCATAGAGGCAGGGGCCAAATAAACTAGTCTGGACTTGGGACCAATGAGCAGGGCTCCCCAACCTGCGGGCCACAGACCAGGACCAGTCCAAGAGAGCGAAGCGTCATCCGTGTCTGCAGCCGCCCCCCAGCGCCAGCATCGCCACCTCAGCTCCGCCTCAGATCCCCGGGCACTAGATTCTCATAGGAGCCCCGGTCCCTGGTCCAGAAAGGTTGGGGACGGCTGAATGCAGAACTGGGGGAGGAGCTTAAGGTGTCGCAGGAGCTGGGACTGAAGAGGTCAGGTCTGGATTCACTGTGTCTAAGATTGGAGCAACTAGAGTATGGCACTCAGAGTCATAGGTTAAAGGTGAGGGGACCGGGCCAGTGGACTGGGGTCAAAGGTCACTACGGCATCAAGCCACAAATCTGAAATTTAGAGGTTGTAGTGAGGTCACAGGGAGGGGGTGGGGCATACACGTGGACTGACCTTCCTCCAGAGGAGGGATGTGGTCCCACAGTGGGGGAGCTCTGGGGAAACTTGCGGCGTCCATCTTTCGTCCCCAGACCCATTCCCAGACCGGCTCCAATGCCTCAACATCTCCATCGTCCCCAGTGCCACCTGCCAAGCCGTGTTCCCTGGGAGAATCACAGACAACATGGTGTGCGCAGGTGGCATCGCCGGACAGGATGCTTGCCAGGTGAGCGGATGCAGGAAGTCGGGGACAGAGAAGGGGGGAGGGGTGAGGAGGGCGGGTGAGTCAGAGAAAAGTGACAGGGGAGAAGGATGAGGTCAGAACGAAAGGGAAGGTGGGCAGAGAGAAGAGAGGAAGGAGAGAGGCAAGGTGGGAAAAGCCTAGAACCAGGCAGGCACTTGGAGCTCAGGCAGGTAACCTGCTGCCTCTCCAGCTCCCAGTCTTCCCCAGTTGGTGCTGGCCCAGGCGAGAGGGAGAGAGTTCAGGGTGGAGGCAGAAAAGGGGGCCGGAGGGCTCTTTCGCCCTCAAATTCAGCCCGCTTGCCCTCTCGGGTCCTCCAGAGAGGCGACTTCCCCGACCCTACCCGCCAAGTCCTCGGCTGTCATCCTTCCGAGAGCTCTGATGGAGTCCCGCCCTCCCTTGCTGGGATTGGTTATTGGTGCCCGTGCTCTCTTCCCTCATTGGTTGCGAGTCCAGCCATTGTCCTTGAGGGAACCCTCTACGTTTATGAAGTCCCGCCCTTCCCTCCCTGGGATTGGTCATCGATGATGGCGCTCTCTTCCCTCATTGGTCAGAACCCCAGCCGGTGTCCTTGAGAGAACCCTGTCTACCCTTTACGGAGTCCCGCCCTCCTTCCCTGGGATTGGCCCTAGGAACAGGGTGTCTTTCTCTATTGGTCAGTTATTGCCATTGTCCTTGGGGCACCTGACAGTGCTCTCTCTCTCTCTCTCTGACAAGCAGGCTTGGAGCTAGCGTCCTCCAGGGCCAGGAAGGGGTTGGGAAGAGGAAAACTGGAACTGGATTCTCCCATATTCAGGCCGTGCGCCTTCCCCTTCTTCTTTCCAGGGTGACTCCGGGGGACCCCTGGTGTGCGGAGGAGTCCTTCAGGGGCTGGTGTCCTGGGGGTCCGTGGGGCCTTGTGGACAAGAAGGCATCCCAGGAGTCTACACCAATATTTGCAAATATGTGAACTGGATTCAGGGGGTCATGAAGAACAACTGACCGGCGTCTTCACCTCCGCCCCTTGGCTCGGGGGCTCTTCTGACCCCCAGAGCTCCAACACCCGCTCCGTCACCATCCCCAGCTCCCACTCTTCCTGGCCTGGGGATCTTCTTCCCAGAGCTCCAACTCCAGCCAGTCCTTCTAAGATCCATGGCTTTGGGAGGAGGGAGCGTGTGACTATCTGGAATAAACATAACATAACTCGAGGAGGGGTGACGTCTGTCTACTCGGTATTTCCATGCTGGTTGAGAAGGGAGGGGAGGCCCATCATCAGCTGCTCTACCCACAGGCGTAGAAATAGCCATCAGAGAGGGTGAGGGCTTTCCCTCAGGGGTCACGCAGGGATGGAACAGGAAAAGTTACTTATAACAGTGTAAGTCAGGGCTGTTTTTCTCCATCTGACACAACGGGAACGGCTCAGTGCCCAGAGCTTACCAGCTGTTCAAGGGCCCATAAGGACCTCGAGGGATAAAAAAAATAAAATAAAAATAAAAAAATTATTGGTTGCAAAATACCAAATGAAAACTGTGAAATCAAACTTCACGACCATTTAATTAAACGTCTATAAAAGGTAACATTCCTGACGACCAGCCAATGGCAACTCGGCTCCGCTGGAGTGGAGCACGCGTTATGTGTGATGTGGGATGCAGGCTCCTTTTCATGCCCGCGATGATGGAGGGTGGGGTGCGAGAGGGCCCGGTCTGCCTTCGAACATCCCTGTCTTCACCGCCAGCCCAGGAGGTGAAAAAAAGAACTCCCCCATGAACAGAGAGGGGATTCGAGGTGGGAAGGAGTGATGGGCAATCAGCAGCCACGGGAACATGTACCGAGCGCCTCCCGTCCATGGCTCTCCCAAAGTCCTCGTCCCAACACCCCCAAGGCAGGGCTGTCTCCCCCAGGTCACAGATGAAGAAATTGAGCCTCACTGGGGTGGAGTCCCTCGTCCCACGTCACCGTGGTAGGAAGAGGCAGAGCTGCGGTTTGGGGCCAGGGCCGGCAGCTGTCAGTACCCAGGCCTACCCAGGAGCCTTGCTGTGAATCTGGTTAGGGAGAGAGGAGGGCAACACAGGAAGGAGATCGAACGGATAACGAACGAGCCAGGAGACGTAGGGACTGTCACTCAAGTCCTGCAGATGAGGAGACTGAGGTGGCTCAGATCTGGGGAGTCGTCGGACTCAGAGCGCACAGCGAGTAAGTGCCACGGCCGGATCCCGAGGACTCTGGGGTGCCTGGCAGGAGGGGGAGCAGAAAAGGGGGGGCTGGATGGCAGAGGAGTCCTGGTTTCCCTTTCCTAGGCCTCGACTCCCACAGGTCCTGACCTGCCTCCCTCACCCTCCCATCCTGCCCCCCCCCACACTGGGCAGCAGCCCCACCTCTGTGACGCCCCAGTTTCCCCCTACTTCTTGGAATGGAGAAGGGAGGGGCCCGAAGGAGGCCAGGGGCCCATCTGGGCTCAAGCCGAGGGGAGGGAGGGGCAGGGACAGGAGAGACGGACTGGGAGACGGGGCGGACGAGAGGGGCTCAGAGACAGAAACAGATGGAGGAAGGCAGAGACAGAGGGACAAGGACAGACAAGCGCAGAGACGCACAGGGACACACACAGAGAGAGAGAAGACACACACAGAGGCAGGGGAAGGCGGTGAACGCCAGGAAGAGAGATTCAGGATGCAGACGGACTGGCGAGCGGACACGGACACGGAGGCGAGAAGCTCAGAGAAGCAGACAGGAGAGGGGCTTGGAGACCGACAGAGGCAGGCGGGCGGGCGGGCGGCAGCGCCTCTGAGGCCCGGCCGTCTGGGGAGGGCCCCCACACACACCCCGCCCCCAGGGCGATAAGGCTGGGCTGGGAGGCCCAGTCATCCCGGGCCACCCCCCTCCCGCCCGCCTGCCTGGTGCCTTGCGCTCCGACCCAGCCTGACCCAGCCTGCCCCAGCCTGCTGCAGCTGCCACCGCGGGCCCCGGGAGCCCCAGCCCCAGAGCCCGTGAGTCTGGGAGGGAGGGCAGGCTTCCCGTCCCGGTGCCTGCACCCCAGCATGCACCAGGCCTCCTGGGCCTCAGCACCATCCCTCCCTCCGCTCTGTCTTTCTAGGCTCAGGTGGGGGCTCTCTGTCTGTCTCTCTCTGTCTCTCCAGTAGGCTGCCCCCAGCCTCGGTGACCTCTGACCTCAGCTTCGGTCACCGAGTCCAGCCTTCTCCCTCCACCCCCACTGGCCAGGGCAGCTGAGGGCATTGGCTCTTCCGGTGACCAGCCCCGCCCCGCTCTGTCCAGCTGTCCTTCCAAGGGGCAGAGGCTCAGCGGGGCAGGGACCGGAACCCTGACCCAGGTCCAGCCCCGTGCACCCGGGTGGTTGCCGAATGGTGCCAGTTCCCTCTGCCCTCCTGTCCCCAAGCTGCTGGGCCTTGGCCAGGTCTCGGGCGGGGTGGGGGGCAAAAAGCATTCTCCAAAATGAACCTTGGCAGTCCCGCGGCGACTTAAATCAGGGCCAGCCCGTCACCTGCCTGCCACAGGGAAAGCCTCTCCCAGCCACCTTCCCGGTCTCCCAGTCGACGGCAAGCTTCTAGCCGAGATCAGGCCCCTCCAAGCCCAAGCTGCGTTCTAAGGCCTTGGAGGCTGGGGTGCTGTGAGAACAAGGGGAGTATCCAGGCCCTGTTGTTTCTCCCCCGGGGCGGGGGAGGAATGGGGGGGCAGCCGGAGCAGGCAAGGGAGACAGGAGAAGGCATGAGACGGCCCCCAATCTCCGCCTCAAATGACTTGGCCCCTGTCCCTCCTTGTTCCCAGAAGAACCTGGGGCCTGCCCTCCCCCCGTCCAGGCCATGACGATTCTGGGACTAATCACGCTTGTTCTGGTGACAGGTACGGCGGGCTGCGGGGAAGGCAGGGGCCTCCTGGAATCACTAGTATATCCCCCTGACCGTCCATGTCTGGACACTGATATTCAAACTATGGCATAAGACGGAGGGCATCTGTGCGGATACACGGGCCACCGCGAGGTCCCAGAGGCCCCTCGCTGTGCCAGGGACAGTCCCTCTAGGTGACAGAATGGGAGAGGACGAGGACAGTCCTGGCCCAAGCAGCCAGGGCAGCCAGGGTGGCATGGGGGACACTCAAAGAGCTCAGGACGGTGGCCACCGACCGGCCGGTAGGGAAGAGCTTCAATCATGCAGCGCTAACGGGACAGACAGCCATCCTCTGTCTCCTCGCCACCCCCATTTCTGGGGGTCCTCTGGTGCCTGAACCCCTCTTTTGCTCCGTCCAGGCCACGTAGCAGGCGAAACCAGGGTCATCAAAGGGTACGAGTGCCTGCCGCATTCCCAGCCGTGGCAGGTGGCTCTGTTCCAGAAGACGCGGCTGCTCTGCGGGGCGACCCTCATCGCCCCCAAATGGGTCCTGACAGCAGCCCACTGCCGCAAGCCGTGGGTGCGGGGGCTGGGGCGGGGGCGGGAGGGGGCTGGAGATGGATGGATGGATGGATGGATGGAGGGGGGCG